ATTTTTTAATCAGGCTGCTTCATTTTCTGTTTTTGTTTTTGTTTTTGTTTTGATATTGAGTTGTATGAGTTCTTTATATACAAGTTTGGATATTAATCCCTTATCAGACATATCATTTGCAAATATTTTGTCACATTCGGTAGGTTGCACTTTAATTTTGTTGAGTTTCCTTTGCTGTTTAGAAGCTTTTTGGTTTGATGTCATCCCACTAGCTGAATTTTGCTTTTGTTTCCTTTGCTGAAGAGACATATTCAAAAAAATATTGCTAAGAACAGTGTCAAAGATTATTACACATGTTTTCTTCTAGAAGTTTTATGGTTTCAGGTCTTACACTTAAGTCTTTAATTCATTTTGAGTTTATTTTTGTATATGGTGTGAAAAAGTAGTCCTGTATAATTCTTTAGCATGTAGCTGTCTAGTTTTCCCAATACCATTTATTGAAGAGACTATCTTTTTCCCAATTTATTTTCTTGCCTCCTTTGTTGCAGACTGATTGATCCTTTAAGAATGGGCTCATTTCTGGGTTCTCTATTTTGTTCCATTGGTCTATGTGCCTGTTTTTGTGCCAGTATCATACTGTTTTGATGACTGTAGCTCAATAGCATAGTTTGAAATCAGGGAGTGTGATACCTCCAGTTTTGTTCTCAAGACTGTCATGGCTACTCGGGGTCTTTTGTGTTTTCATACAAATTTTAGAATTATTGTTTTAATTCTGTGAAAAATGCCATTGGTAGTTTGACAGGGATTGCACTGAATCTGTAGCTTGCCTTGGGTACTATGGTCATTTTAACAACATTTAACAATATTAATTCTTCCAACCCATGAACACAGTATATCTTTCCATTTGCTTGTGTTGTCTTCGGTTTTGGTTTTTTTTCTTCTTTTCTTTTTCTTTCTTTTTTTTTTTTACATGGTGGGGGTAAATTTATTAATTTTTTTTATTTTTAGAAGATGTACTGGGGATCGAATCCAGGACCTTGTGCACACTAAGCACATGCCCTATCACTTGAGCTATACCCTGCTGCCATTGTCTTCAATTTCTTTCATCAGTGTCTTACAGTT